TCGCCGGTCACTGATCCAACTGCGACAGCTGCCGCCGTAAATTAGCCGCGCTGAACAGGCTCTGGGAGCCGGCTTACAGCTGTCAAACAGCTGTCGCCCAGCTAACAGCTTTGCTCACTGACTTTCAGCTGTAAAGTGTGTGTAAATAGATTGTAAATCACCAGTTACCTATTTACCTACCCAGTTAAGCAGATAACAGATTTACATAGATCTTACCCTTCAGATGTGAGAATTTATAAAAACAACAGCAACGCGTTTCACGGGAACGTAAAACATGAAACAATTTAAAAGGGTAAGCCGAAATGACATCCTAAATGACAGCCAAAATGACATCCTAAGTATAAATTCTCTTGAATTCTTTAGTCAACAAAATGCTCATACAGTTTCTATGATTAGTTAACTGATTCACGTTTTAAAAAAAAAAAACACTTCACAACCGAGGTTAATAGATAATTATATTTGTTTATTTAGCTTAAAGGACTTGCAAAAGTTAAACCTAATTGTTTAACCAATGGAGCTTTCAGAAAGCTAAACCTAATTGCTTAACCAATGACGCTTTTAGAAATATAAGCCTAATAGTTAAACCGATGACGCTTTTCGAAGGTTCAACTTGATTGTTTAACCTATGAAGTTGTCACAAAATTCAACAAAGTTTCAATGTTTTGAAAACAAAGCCGCGTACCTCTAAGAAAAATCACATCAACGACCAGCCTCGCAGAAATGGACATTCTTGTCGACAGAGAAAACCTTTTTTTTAACTGCTGATTATGACGTAACTGGTCTGTTTAAAGACCGCGAGTGAGTTCTTTCAACTTGTGTGCGGCTCTTGCACGTGCTTTTGTGTTGGCTCCCTTTTGAGCCAAGTGTGAGCCTTCTAGCCGTCTGTTGAATGTGCTAAGTGTATAAATAAAACAATGTTATTCCCAAACTCATTAAAATATTTTCACATGTAACGAAACTCGTTTTCAAATCTTTGCCGCGACGAATAAACAACTCCCCTCCCAGCCCTGCCCCCCAGCAGTTCTGATTTCTTCCCTCGTGTCTAGCGCCGCTGATGTATATTGCTGGTGAGGTGTGGAACGGTAAGTAGCTGTTGTGTTGAACACATCTCACGACAGCAGCAGATCCCAGCAAAAAACCGCCGCTTCACTAAACCTATAATCACCGGAAACGAAGCGGTTATTTTCCTATTTGTACACAGTTCTCCCCCTTCTGACGGTGTTGCCTCCCATGGAACGAATGAATAATTGGTGTTGGAACCGCTCCATTTTCTCTGACGAATTTCGGAGTTCCTTCAACATTATTATTTCATCTGTTCCACGCAAGCCGAGCACTTAAATTACACGCAGTCGTCACACTTAAATTAAGCGCGCAATATTTTTCAGCTTGGGTTAATGATATGAGAAGAAAAGAAATATCAAACTTTTAATAAAAACAAATCCCTAAAATGTGACAAGGTTCCCGAATAATTACAAACTTATTTACATTTTTGCACAGATATGAAGTTAAGTACGATCATACTAAGGGACGAATTCACCCAGTTACGTAGAGAGACCGACATAAAGGACATAATTACCGTGCAATTATTATGGGATACTCACCCTATTACAAAGACATTCAGCACCAGACAGTTCATGCGTGACGTATGGAGATAGCACATGTCACGTTTCACGTGATCCCAGTCACGTGGGACCCGTGTAAACATGCGCCAATCACACACAACCCGACAGACGTAACAAATGGCTGGCAAGTTCCGGCCAGTGAGCGCGGTTTGGTAAGACACGGCGAAAAAACCTGGCTAAACGTTTACGGCGATTGACCATACAGAGACGTCAGTCACGTGACTCTGTGAACACCAATCTGACGCCTGCAGTATGTGACGGGTCGTCAGGGAGATGGATGGACCGTTCACCTCGCGTGTTTATCACCCAGCGGTCCGGGGATCGAGTTCTGAGTACACCAACTCACCCGTATCATGACCGGAACAACACCCCTCCCCATCCCCAACCCAAGGTTTTACAAGAAGATACCCCCATACCTCTTTAAATAACTTCCTCTCCACTTGTTTTGGGTGAAAGCTAAAACAAACAGAAAAGAATGTTGAACAAATATTCCTGTATTTAAAATTAAAACATAAACTAAAATGTTCTATGCCTTCCATAAAATTTGTTATTTAATGCTACAGGAATTTGAACTAATTACATTTAAAACACTTTAAAACAATTATCTATGATAGTGTTACTTCTCATTTGTGTCTGAAATTAATAACACACAAAAAAATCAATTATTTATTGATATACATTTTATCGGCAGCCCATTGTTCTTACAGTTATGATAAGTTACATATGTGTTGAGATATTTAGTTGACACAAATAACATGTATTATTTGTGTCTTACTTCTGCCGGTATACTTACACATTGAACTCTTACCATCTTACTTGTACCATCTTATCCGTACCATCTTACCTATATCATCTTACCTGTACCATCTTACCTGTGCCATCTTATCCGTACCAGCTTACCTGTACCATCTTACCTGTACCATCTTACCTGTGCCATCTTATCCGTACCATCTTACCTGTACCATCTTACCAGTACCATCTTACCTGTGCCATCTTACCTGTACCATCTTATCCGTACCATCTTACCTATACAATCTTACCTGTACCATCGTACCTGTACAATAACCTAGCGACCGTTGCATAAACTGTTTTGGTCTAGCTTTGCATGGGAGACAACTCAATAAAAATTATTTCTTTTCCTTGGCTTACCTCCTCTTTGCCCTTCCTGCTGATGAGTCGTCTAGATATTTTAATAATTTTTATCCCATATGTATGGACGTATGTGTGGGGAATGAGAGGAGTATGTATGTATGTGTGTTGTATGGTTGTATGTATGTATGTATTTTTGTGTAACTGTATACAAATGTGAAGGTGTAAAAAAGAAGTATTTGTATGTGTGTAAGAGATTATTTTAGTCTATACATTTTAAAATATTACAGTATCGCATACAGGTTTTCCTTTAACTTGTTTCATTAATTTATTCGCATTTAATAAATAACTTACACCACGATCCAAATGGAAGTGCTTTCAAAAACCTAACAATTTAACTTTTGATCGAACTTTTCAATTGTTCTATCGACTGCCGAGGTCTAGGGGCTTCAAGTCTGTCAATATTTTCTTGGGTCTGCTAGGGACCTTTTCATTAAAAGCCTTAGAGGTCTGGTAAAGACCTATTTAAAAAGCCCCACAGGTCTGGTATAAGACCTTTTGTTTAAATGCTCCACAGGTCTAGTGTTAGAACTTTGTCTAAATACCCTAGAGGTTTGTTAAAGACCTTCCGTTTAAAAGCCCCCCCCACCCCCACCCCAGCATCCTGCAAGAGATTTGCCGAGGGTGCAGGCGACGCCCCTGATTTAAGCCCGGGAAGATTTCCTTAAGCCGATGGTCCGCCTTTAAGTGTCCACCGTTAAGTGCTGGCATCTCAGTCTGGAACAGTTAAGCTGTCGATCTGTGGTCGCAACTTGTCGATTGGTGGCTCATGATGGTCGATCGTCGACCGTTAAATAAAACAATCAGCCAGAAAATTGCGCACCGTTTACGCGCTAAACAATGGCGCACCTATTAGGCCCAAACCAAGGTATATTAAAATTTATATGACGAGTTTATTCCTGTCTGTAGTTGCAATCTCCATCCGTGTGTACATTTAGTTCGGTATTGGCTGGGCGCTTAATGGCTGCCGCTTGGCTCTGCCTAATTCGCTGGATCAATTTCTGTGCATCAACTTCATCCTTTTTTGTGCATCAAGTTTATCCTTTTTTGTGCATCTTTAGTTTAATCCGATTGATCAGGGAGATTAGGTGACGATGGGACACACGCCACTCAAACACTCCCACACCTCTTCCCCCACCTCTCACACACTTCCTCCTCATCCCTCCCTCCCCCACCACACCACTACCCTAGCCCTGCCTTATTCTGCAAATACAAAGTATTAGTTTTAGATTTTTTGTTTTAATGTTTTAAAAATAAAAAGATTTAAAATTTCAATCCTTCGATTAATAACATTTAATAGTCCTAATATATTTTTTTGTTCAATTTTACTGTGGAAATATCATCGTTGTATATTTCAGTTTTTATAATTTTTCGTTCTAATATTACAGGGAATGACCAACTTTCATCCTTTTACTCTGATTTAATTGTTATTCTTGTTATTTCAAGTTCATGAACAATTTTCGTCAAAAAACAAAAAACAAAAAACCAAAAAAAAAAACAGGAAGACAATATTAGGGACTGGTTGGATTTCTTAATGGGGGTGGTATTGGGTGAGGTAAAGGTGAGGTACTGAGAGGTTATGCTGGAGGTACTGGATGAGGTAAAGGGTGAGGTACTAGTAGAGGTACTGAAGGAAGAACTGGGGGGGGGGGAGAGAGGTGGAGGAGAGCGGAATGGAGGGATAGGATAAGATGGACGCCTCCAGACTATGGGATAAAAGTGGTGGGGAGTGGGTAGGTGGTGTTATGGGTATGGTGGTGTTAAGGGGGTAGCAAATATATGGGAAGTAGTGTAGGTCAAAGGTATAGTGTTGTGTGGGTTGTGTTTTGGCATAGTATGTGTGTTGTGTGTGGTATGTGGTATGTATCGAGTGTGCTGTGTGTCGAGTGCGTTGTGTGTGGTATGTGTGTACATACAAAGTAGCAAGACAATCCCAACGAGAACTTGCCCGATCAGCCCTAACGGAGGGGTCAACTCAAACAAACGGGGTCTCAATAGCCCACCGTGTGGCCACGCGTGACTCGTCACACAACACTTGACACTTCACGCTCCGTGATCACGCTGTGACGGCTCACCTGGCTGATCTCTCACCTAAATCTTTAAATCTTTCAATCTTTCAATCAATTTAAATTCTCGACATTAAAAACTGATTATTGATCTGTATTGATCGGAAATCAGGAGCTATACACATGGGTAGTGATCGTAGATCGATTAACATAGACTAATCAGGTGTAGCTTGGTATCTCAGGTACGTTGACTGGCTTTGAGTTTAACAAGGCGTCGTTATCACATTATGGAAGACTTGATTCAGACTTGAGAGTTGTGATTAGTTCTATGGTCGCTGGATTTACTGTTTGTGTGTGGAGTCTGTAGTTGGACTTATGGTCGGTGGATTTAGTTCATACCTGTAAGTTTGTTGTGTATGTGATTAGTTATGTGGTTGTTGTGTAAGTGTGGTGATGTTATGTAAGTGTGGTGATGTTGTCGTCTAAGTGTCTTGCTGTTGTCTAAGTGTGGTCATGTTGTCTAAGTGTGGTGATGTTGTCTAAGTATGGTGATGTTGTCTAAGTGTGGTGATGTTGTCTAAGTATGGTGATGTTGTCGTCTAAGTGTCTTGATGTTGTCTAAGTGTGGTGATGTTGTCTAAGTGTGGTGATGTTGTCTAAGTGTGGTGATGTTGTCTAAGTGTGGTGATGTTGTCGTCTAAGTGTCTTGATGTTGTCTAAGTGTGGTGATGTTGTGTGTAAGTGTGGAGATGTCTTCTTAGTGTTGTGATGTTGTGTAAGTGTGTTGATGTTGTCTAAATGTGGTGATGTTGTGTAACAGGTGACGCCCACCCCGCCTACAAGAGCTCACGTGAATGGAGAAAGTTCTGCTCCCCCCGCCCCCCACCAAACGTCTGATTAAGACAGCCCTGCACCAGGCTGTACTGGACGAACGTCTGCATCAGGTCAGTCTAGAACATTCTCTAGGTCAGTCTAGAACATTCTCTAGGTCAGTCTAGAACTTTCTCTAGGTCAGTCTAGAACTTTCTCTAGGTCAGTATAGAACATTCACTAGGTCAATCTAGAACTTTCTCTAGGTCAGTCTAGAACATTCTCTAGGTCAGTCTAGAACATTCTCTAGGTCAGTCTAGAACATTCACTAGGTCAATCTGGAACTTTCTCTAAATCATTCTAAAACTTTAATATGTCAATCTAGAATTTTCACTGTAGAATTTTGTTTACATTTGAACCCTCCACCTAACCAATCACTGACTTGATTTGACCAATCACTGACTTGACCAATCACTAACTCGACCAATCACTGACTAGACCAATCACTGACTTGACCAATCACTGACTTGACCAATCACTGACTTGACCAATCACTGACTTGACCAATCACTGACTTGACCAATCACTGACTTGACCAATCACTGACTAGACCAATCACTGACTTGACCAATCACTGACTTGACCAATCACTGACTAGACCAATCACTGACTTGACCAATCACTGACTAGACCAATCACTGACTTTCACTGACTTGACCAATCACTGACTTGACCAATCACTGACTTGACCAATCACTGACTTGACCAATCACTGACTTGACCAATCACTGACTTGACCAATCACTGACTTGACCAATCACTGACTTGACCAACCACTGACTTGATCTGACCAATCACTGACTTGACCAACCACTGACTTGATCTGACCAATCACTGACTTGACCAATCACTGACTTGACCAATCACTGACTTGACCAACCACTGACTTGATCTGACCAATCACTGACTTGACCAATCACTGACTTGACCAACCACTGACTTGATCTGACCAATCACTGACTTGACCAATCACTGCCTTGACCAATCACTGCCTTGACCAATCACTGACCTCCCTGTCCGCAGGTCCGCCTCCTGCTGACCAAGCACGGAGCAGACCCTGACTGTAGGGATGTGCATGGCAGGACGGCCCTGATGCTCACCTGCATCATTGACGACAGTGTCCTCGGCTACAGGATGGCCCGGGTCCTGCTGGAGGCCAAGGCCACGGCCAACATGCGGGACGGCATGGGCCGCACGGCCCTCAGCTACGCCTGCATGAACGGCCGTGAGAAGCTCGTCCGTCTTTTCCTCAAGGTAAAAAATTTCACTGCAAGCTTCATTTGATGAGGTCTTTGAAGCAGTCGGGTATCACAAAACGACTGGTTGTATCACTACACTGTTAGGTCACGTAGGACACCTCAGTGAACAGTAATGTGATATAACTGTGGACTCGGTAGGTTCATGCTTATGGTGATTGTCCTGGTGGAGTAGAAAAACAAAGTATCAAAATTTAAAGAAGACAACTTTATGGCAACATTGAGTGAGTGACGTCACCAATATCTGTGTACTCATGTGTATTCATGTATCCCAACAGGCCGACAAAATTGAGTGACGTCACCAATATCTGTGTACTCATGTTTCCTCCTGTATCCCAACAGGCAGACAACATGGAGTGACGTCACCAATATCTGTGTACTATCTATCCCAACAGGCCGACAACATCGATCTGACTGAGGCAGACAGCGACGCCAACACACCCATGCACCACGCTGTCCTCAGCGGTAGTGAGACGATAGTTAGGATACTGGCCCAGGCTATCCACAAGGTAGGATAGTTAGGATAGTTAGGATAGTTGGGATAGTTAGGATAGTTAGGATAGTTAGGATAGTTGGGATACTGGTCAAGGCTATCAATAAGGTAGGATAGTTGGGATAGTTTGAAATCAGATCTAATTTTATCATAACTTACATGCCCTACAACACACACACACACAGAGTGCGGAAAAAGTTTGGAATAAATCAATTCCTGCAGCCAGCTCTGTGGGACCAGCGACTGTAGATGTGAGAATATTTTTACCTGCCTGTATTTTATAAGACCTGAGACCCACTGATATCTCTACCTACCTGTAAGACGTGAGACCTACTGGTATCTCTACCTACCTGTAAGACCTGAGACCAACTGATATCTCTACCTACCTGTAAGACCTGAGACCCACTGATACCTCTACCTGTAAGACCTGAGACCCACTGAAGACTATCTCTACCTACCTGTAAGACCTGAGACCCACTGATACCTCTACCTGTAAGACCTGAGACCCACTGAAGACTATCTCTACCTACCTGTAAGACCTGAGACCCACTGATACCTCTACCTACCTGTAAGACCTGAGACCCACTGATACCTCTACCTGTAAGACCTGAGACCCACTGATACCTCTACCTGTAAGACCTGAGACCCACTGAAGACTATCTCTACCTACCTGTAAGACGTGAGACCTACTGATACCTCTACCTACCTGTAAGACCTGAGACCTACTGATATCTCTACCTACCTGTAAGACCTGAGACCCACTGATACCTCTACCCACCTGTAAGACGTGAGACCTACTGATACCTCTACCTACCTGTAAGACCTGAGACCTACTGATACCTCTACCTACCTGTATATTGTAAGACCTGAGACCCACTGATACCTCTACCTACCTGTATATTGTAAGACCTGAGACCCACTGATACCTCTACCTACCTGTATATTGTAAGACCTGAGACCCACTGATACCTCTACCTGTAAGACCTGAGACCCACTGAAGACTATCTCTACCTACCTGTAAGACGTGAGACCTACTGATACCTCTACCTACCTGTAAGACCTGAGACCTACTGATATCTCTACCTACCTGTAAGACGTGAGACCTACTGATACCTCTACCTACCTGTAAGACGTGAGACCTACTGATACCTCTACCTACCTGTAAGACCTGAGACCTACTGATACCTCTACCTACCTGTAAGACCTGAGACCCACTGATACCTCTACCTACCTGTAAGACCTGAGACCCACTGATATCTCTACCTACCTGTAAGACCTGAGACCCACTGATATCTCTACCTACCTGTATATTGTAAGACCTGAGACCCACTGATAATTCTACCTGCCTGTAAAACATGAGACCCACTGATATATTTACCTAACTGTAAGACCTGAGACCCACTGATACCTCTACCTACCTGTAAGACGTGAGACCCACTGATATATTTACCTACCTGTAAGACCTGAGACCCACTGTTGTCTCTACCTGCCTGTATTTGTAAACACTCACCTTTCTCCAGTAGCGCAGATCGTGACATGCGCAGTGAGCTTGTCTGCACCTCTTGTGTTCGTTCTGTTTGTTTAGCCGCTGATCTGATCACACTTGGTCTGGTTTATGTTCCCAGTTGGTCTAAAGTCCCAGTTGGTCTAATGCTCCAATTGGTCTCTATCACCTCTATCTACCAACTCTACAAACTCTTCCAACTCTACCACTTCTACCAACAACTCTACCAACTCTACCAACAACTCTACCACTTCTACCAACAACTCTACCACTTCTACCAACAACTCTACCAACTCTACCAACAACTCTACCAACTCTACCAACAACTCTACCACTTCTACCAACAACTCTACCACTTCTACCAACAACTCTACCAACTCTACCAACAACTCTACCACTTCTACCAACAACTCTACCACTTCTACCAACAACTCTACCAACTCTACCAACAACTCTACCAACTCTACCAACAACTCTACCACCTCTACCATCTCCCCGTGTTTCCCACAGTTCAGTGTCAACCCGGATATCCGGAACCTGGCCGGAGACACGCCCCTTCTACGTGCCTGCAAGTACGGCCATTACGTGGCGGCCTACCTGACACTCACCATTGCCAAGGCCTCACCCACACTCAGGTATCTCAGTGACATGGTCATTTTAGGCATTGTCAGTGATGTTTTGGTCATTTGAAGCCAACCGTTCGGATCAAAGTTTTACCTATGTTTGTGTGTGGACAGTATTGCACGGTGTAAAGTTCCAGAAGTTTATAGCATCTCCCACTGTCCCCAGGGACCAAGAGTTCCAGCTGACCACGCTTGAGTGGCTACAACGTGAGCCGCTCGTCCAGTCACGCTCCACTGACCGGAAGTATCTGGCCTCAGGTGAGTGACCTCTGCTGACACGCGATGCTCTCTTTCTCTCTCTCTCTCTCTCTCTCTCTCTCTACCTGCTGACCCAGGTGATTCTCTCTTCCTACTGACCCCTGTACTGACCTCTGTACTGACCTTGGTACTGACCTCTGTACTGACCTTGGTACTGACCTCTGTACTGACCTTGGTACTGACCTCTGTACTGACCTTGGTACTGACCTCTGTACTGACCTTGGTACTGACCTCTGTACTGACCTCTGTACTGACCTCTGTACTGACCCCTGTACTGACCTCTGTACTGACCTCTGTACTGACCTTGGTACTGACCTCTGTACTGACCTCTGTACTGACCTCTGTACTGACCTCGGTACTGACCTCTGTACTGACCTCTGTACTGACCTCTGTACTGACCTCTGTACTGACCTCTGTACTGACCTCGGTACTGACCTCTGTACTGACCTCTGTACTGACCTCTGTACTGACCTCTGTACTGACCTCTGTACTGACCTTGGTACTGACCTCTGTACTGACCTTGGTACTGACCTCTGTACTGACCTCTGTACTGACCTCTGTACTGACCTCTGTACTGACCTCTGTACTGACCCCTGTACTGACCTCTGTACTGACCTCTGTACTGACCTTGGTACTGACCTCTGTACTGACCTTGGTACTGACCTCTGTACTGACCTCTGTACTGACCTCTGTACTGACCTCTGTACTGACCTCTGTACTGACCTCTGTACTGACCTTGGTACTGACCTCTGTACTGACCTCTGTACTGACCTCTGTACTGACCTCTGTACTGACCTCTGTACTGACCTCTGTACTGACCTTGGTACTGACCTCTGTACTGACCTCTGTACTGACCTCTGTACTGACCTTGGTACTGACCTCTGTACTGACCTCTGTACTGACCTCTGTACTGACCTCTGTACTGACCTCTGTACTGACCTCTGTACTGACCTCTGTACTGACCTCTGTACTGACCTCTGTACTGACCTCTGTACTGACCTCTGTACTGACCTCTGTACTGACCTCTGTACTGACCTCTGTACTGACCTCTGTACTGACCTCTGTACTGACCTCTGTACTGACCTCTGTACTGACCTCTGTACCCCACCATGTAAACACCAACTCCATCAAACAACATCGTCTTACCGCCACCATCTATCTCGTCAGTGACCTCGACGTCAACACTCTACCAGTACCAACCACACACTGGCAACTACCACATTTTGACGTGCAATGCCACATGTACACACGTCTTAACATGGTTAAAAACCACACGAAATTTACCACAATAGGTTTTATTTTCAGAGTTTCAGAGAATGCTAGGAATTCGTGGTAAATTAATCTCTTCGAAAATTTCAAATTTCCTAGATTTGTCTTTTTTTTTTCGATATTATAAATTTTACATTTTATTTTTTACATTAAAAAATTACTTTTCTAAATTATTTAGCTAGAAAGTAATACCATGTCCAAAGTAGTAGATAGAATTTTTTTTCTCTTTTTACTCTTGTCACTTACAAATTTGAATTCACAATTTGAGTGCGCAAACATATCCTATACCAATCTAGAAATCTAACTCATCTAAAGACTACTATTTTCAAAAATCAAATATGTCATCAAAGGCGTATCGACCTCTCCCGGCGCACGAGGACAAACTTTCAGTTTTGCCCCCCCCCCCCCCCATATATTTTTTATGTGTATAATTCAAAACTGCAGCTAAAATGAGCTTTTAATTTTTTTCCAACACATTTTGACGCCCCTAGGGTCAGAGCCCGGGGATATATGTACCCAGAACCACCCCCCCCCCCCTGTACGTCGTAACGACCACTCGCTCATTGAAGTTGTTCACAACGAAAGTTTTCAAATCAGCCTAGAGATCTAGATTAGTTTACAAATTAGATGTAAGAAAACATTACTAATGTAAACATACTTTGAGGAAATTATTCCGACACAAAGGGGGGGGGGGGGGGAATAAAACCGTTTTTTTTTTATGACGGGTCGCGCTCATTCAACAAGTAGCTAGAAAATAGTAAGAAGCTAACGGCTTATAATTACATTTTTTAATACCTAATTACTAAAATGTAGAAAATAAAATAAATATAACAACTTCGTAGCAATAAGCTTTTGCATTATGCAATTTAAGTAAAAAAAAAGTATTTTTCATTTGCTTATTTATTACAGCTTTTTGTTGAAAAAAAATGTTTTTAAAACGTTTTTAGTCACATAGATTTATTTGCTTGTTATTTAGCTAGACTAGGGTAAGTTTGTAGTCTTTGGTGCAGCGTGGATTAGAACCTTCTGTTTTTAACACACGCATAAGCTGTGGAGAAACGTTCCACTGATCCAAATCTTCAGGTGTATCACCCACTAATCCAAATCTTCAGGTGTATCACTCAATAGCCAATCCTTACTGCAGGTGTCAAGTTTACTGTGGTAGACTTCAAATGTTGAGGCGAATACTTCAAGATCAAAGAAGATATATGAATATACCAAACATACTTACATTTTATTTACTTTTAGTTTTATTTATTTTTAAACACAAAATTTGTAGACTTTTAGACCTAGCGCTAGTCGAGTGAGGTTTATAAAAGCCATTTTACTTTTTCCTAGAATGAATGTTCTTATTGAAATTGATGAACTATATATATATATACATATATATATATATATATATATATATATATATATATATATATATATATATATATATATATATATATATGTATATCTTTAAAACCATACTTTCAATACCACTTACATTCTACTTATGTATCCGTGAGTACCATATGAGTACTATGTGAATACCTTGAGTGCACCAAGAAGACTTTAGTGTACCATGCTGTGACAGTTGTTAAGTTACCCAATTTTCGATCCCCTAATCGAACCTAACAAACTATGACGTCGTCTGGCCGCTAACAGAAGATTCAAACCTTTCCCAACTGTTCCACATTTGCTACAGCACCGCCAGCCTCCCCTCGACCACTCGCCTCCCTGTCGTTTGAAAGAGACGAGTCGATGTACAGCAGGCCGTGGGTTCCAGTCTCTCGTCTCTACAGGGTACCCAACCCCTACCACGCCATAGAATCTACCAGACTGCCGGAAATCGCCAAGGAGAAGAAGAAAGCGGAAGTTCCGATGGATAACGCAGAGGTAAGCGATAGAATCAAATCAATACGTTCAGTCAAGAGGGTGGAGAATATAGCAGACTAGCAGCTCAATCATCATCATTGTTTGTGTCCAAGACACATGGTGCAGATGAAGTAGAGTTCACCTGTTTCAATAACCTCGGCATACAAGGGGATATTTTGGTCAGCACTTTGCCCAGCCGCCTTTGTTTCTCTAATGTGAATTAGGTACCCATCAGAGCTGGGTCGACTCAGGGACGTTCTAATGAACCCGGATTCGAACGCGAGACTTTCAGGTAGCAGTCTAGCGTTCTACCGCTAGGACATGCTCAATATATAGTCCAATAGTCTAGTGCCCCAATTGTGTCTGTAGGAGTGTTTAGCTTAACATACTGATGATAGGTGACACGACTGGACAGCTGGACTGTCCAAGCCTGCTGCCCATCTAACACCTACCCCCCTCCTCCCCACCCCCAGGCCCGCCTACGTCTGCTACAGGAGCTGGGTAGACTGGCCGGTAAAGTGACCGGCACACAAGATGGCGGACCCCTGCCCCGGTGGCTCCACCCCTCCACAGCCAAACTTAGGAGTCGAATCTCAATGTCAAGGTCGTCTCTTGTCCCAGATATCGTGAGTACTTTCTGACCTCACCGTAATAGGGCTGGTAAGTAGGTCACCAACCCGTTCTACGGCTCAATAAAACCTGCATGAGCCATAGAACAGGTTGGTGACCTACTTACTAGCCATATTATGTGATATGTCTTCAGGTAGCTCTGTTTAAATTATGTGATATGTGTACAGGTAGCCATGTTTAAATTATGTGATATGTTTGTAGGTAGCCATGTTTACATTATGTGGTATTTCTACAGGTAGCCATGTTTAAAATCTACTGCGAGCAGTATGAACCCGACTGGAGGACATACAGACAGACTGACATGTCAGTCAACATTCCACCACTTGTCACTGACAATGACCAGCCATCTGTCAGTGTCCAGCAATAACTGACCTTTGACCTGATCAGTCTGGACAAGATGGCCGCCATGGCTTCATCAGATGACACGGGTGATACTCATCAATTATGTTGGACCTGAGATTCTAATTAGAGACTGATTGCCAATTAAAGCTGGTTTAAGTAGTGATTGTAATGTAATAATAATTGAATAAAATGTTGAATAAAAAAAAGCAATAAATAAAGCAATGAGATTTTAACAACAGAGTTGTTCTAGTGAGACGTGTAACTATGTGTTGGCCAGGTGGACAAGCTCGGTTGGCCAATTAGAGTCTTTTACAGGGCCATCACGCAACACAGGGCCATCTAGCTGCACAGGGCCATCTAGCTGCACAGGGCCATCTAGCTGCAGAGGGCCATCTAGATGCAGAGGGCCATTTAACATCATATGACCATCTAACAGCACATAGCGCTCTAACACCACAAGGCCATCTAGTAGCAAAGGGCCATCTAACAGCACAGGGCGATCTAGTAGTAAAGGGCCATCTAACAGCACAGGGCGATCTAGTAGTAAAGGGCCATCTAACAGCACAGGGCGATCTAGTAGTAAAGGGCCATCTAACAGCACAGGGCCATCTAGTAGTAAAGGGCCATCTATCAGCACAGGGCCATCTAGTAGTAAAGGGCCATCTAACACCACAAGGCCATCTAGTAGTAAAGGGCCATCTAACAGCACAGGGCGATCTAGTAGTAAAGGGCCATCTAACAGCACAGGGCGATCTAGTAGTAAAGGGCCATCTAACAGCACAGGGCCATCTAGTAGTAAAGGGCCATCTATCAGCACAGGGCCATCTAGTAGTAAAGGGCCATCTAACACCACAAGGCCATCTAGTAGTAAATGGCCATCTAAAAGCACAGGGCCATCTAGTAGTAAAGGGCCATCTAACACCACAGGGACATCTAGTAGTAAAGGGCCATCTAACACCACATGGCGATCTAGTAGTAAAGGGCCATCTAACAGCACAGGGCCATCTAGTAGTAAATGGCCATCTAACAACACAGGGCCATCTAACACCACAGGGCCATCTAGTAGTAAAGGGCCATCTAGTAGTAAAGGGCCATCTAGTAGTAAAGGACCATCTAATACCACAGGGCCATCTAGTAGTAAAGGGCCATCTAGTAGTAAAGGGCCATCTAGTAGTAAACGGCCATCTAGTAGTAAAGGGCCATCTAGTAGTAAAGGGCCATCTAGTAGTAAAGGACCATCTAATACCACAGGGCCATCTAGTAGTAAAGGGCCATCTAGTAGTAAAGGGCCATCTAGTAGTAAAGGACCATCTAATACCACAGGGCCATCTAGTAGTAAAGGGCCATCTAGTAGTAAAGGGCCATCTAGTAGTACAGGGCCATCTAACACCACAGGGCCATCTAGTAGTAAAGGGCCATCTAGTAGTACAGGGCCATCTAACACCACAGGACAATCTACCAGCAAAGGGCCATCTACCAGCATACGGCTACATAAAGAGACAACATCACAATGACCGACGTGTTACCTACAATCAACCAAGACAATCAACATTTAGTTACGGTCTGATTGTCAGGAATAACGCCAAATTCTTATGTTGTTCGAAATATTCTAGCAGACACATGACGTCATTCACCCCCCCCCAGCAGGGCCTAGCATATCTGTGACGTGTAGGTCTTGGCCCCCCACCCCACCGTTTGTTTTTCTACACCTGACCTATCTCCCCTAACACAATCAAACCCCGACAGCAGCTTATAGATAACTCTCCGATCATCTTCAGATCACCCTCCGTAGTGCATGAGCCAGAGCCCGACTCAGCCGCACTGAAAGTCCCAGCATACCCCAGCCCGCCGCTGACAATGCGAGGGTCAATATTATGGGTCGGGGTCTGGGTCAACAAACAAGGGAGCTTATCGTGGCCGCAGTTTATTGTTCCAGGCCCGGATAACCACAGGCTCGGGTTTCTGTTTAGGTACCGCGCGTGCGGCCGGCGTCCATAGTGACGAATTGATGACGTCGACGGCGACGTAGATCAACAATTAGTGCGCGCGCAGTCATCAGTAGTTTGGAGAGCCGACATGACTTCCTGAAATATGTTCCACAGTTTACATATCACTAGCTTCCGCTTGACAATCGTCTGATAAAATGTTGACCTTTTAATGGCGATATTTCACCTGGATTCTTTCCCTGTATATATATATATATATATATATATATATATATATATATATATATATATATATATATATATATATATATATATATATATATATGTATATATATATATATATATATATATATATATATATATATATATATATATATATATATATATATATATATATATATATATATAAATGTGTCGGTTTGATTAGCGCCTGATATTAATGGATTAAATAAAATTGTTGATACTACCGTGATACTACCTGGTGCCACTAACCAAACTCTGGTGCCACTAACCAAACTCTGGTGCCACTAACCAAACTCTGGTGCCACTAACCAAACTCTGGTGCCACTAACATGGTGCCACTAACCAAACCTTAGCACCGCTAACCAAACCTTGGTGCCACTATCCAAACTCTGCTGCCACTACAGGAGTGTGAGCCTCAGTTTCCGGAAGACGTCACCCGATCAGCTGGAAGTGAGTTTGTGAATATCGTCTGCGAGAAAGTCAGGGAAGTCTGGTGGTCTGAGGGCTGGCACGGTCCTGTTGTTGTCTTTAGTCTGGAGATGGTATCAGGCGAGTACAAGCTGGGGTGCCATCTCAGATACCATCAGGATGAGTTTGATAGGCTCGTGATGGGAGCCAAGTATAGCAGCAATGAGAGGGGGTGGGGTGTAAGTGTGAGATGTGAAAATCTGAAAGCGGAGGATAAATGTATTCTTTGGCAATTGCCGTGAAGGGGGTCGGGTACGGGGCAGGCACCTATCGTGTTGCAGGCACGAGATTTCTGCAGAAGATTCCAGACTCGGCGGTGTGTGACAGTCCAACTGTCAGCATCAGGTACACAGGCAGCGAGTTGGTGCTTTGATTCTCTCTCGTGATTACACATTACACACTTTAGGATCATCTTTGGTGTGTCTGCAGAACTTCAAGTCCTGCCGTAATTGCCGAGTCATGCCGTAATTGCCGAGTCCTGCCGTAATTGCCGAGTCCTGCCGTAATTGCCGAGTCATGCCGTAATTGCCGAGTCCTGCCGTAATTGCCGAGTCCTGCCGTAATTGCCGAGTCCTGCCGTAATTGCCGAGTCCTGCCGTAATTGCCGAGAGCTCTGCCGTGTTTGCGTACAGAGAAGTCAGTTCGTGATAACCGGTTTACATTTCCTATTGAACACGGCATTGTGACGTCTCAATTAAAGGGGGGGGGGGAGGCTCCGGTAAAAAAAAAATTTTAATACTCGTAAGAAAACGGATGTATCTAAATAAAGCTGTATAGAAATAACTGTTTTCTAACGATTATTAAAAAAGTTTTTTTTTTTTTACCAAAGCCTAGCCCCTTTTTTAAAAACGAATCAAGGAAGGACTAAGTAATTGAACATTTAAGTCTTAAAATGTTTAAGTCATACAAAAATTTATTAATGAAACAGTTTAGACATGGGGTCATTAAGAAATCGAACATTCAAGTCTTGGAACCATTTCGTTTTGGAAAAGTCATCCCTTGGATAACTGTGGGTTTCGGGGGTCATCCATAAAAAAACATCACGTCTGTCACTTATCCTCACAAAAAACCAGATCCCACATTCAAAAAGATGTTTTTTATCTTTTAAAAACACCGATTTCGGACTATCGTTTCATATACTGACGTCAGATGTGACCTACTCAACTCTACTTCACCTGCCCAGTGTCCCGCCAAGTCTCTGACAACATGTTTTTATCGTTTAAAAAAACGATTCCGGCCGAGCATGTCTCTGACCACACTATCCCTTCATATGCTTAGGACAAAGAAACAGATGAACTCTACTTCACCTGCCCTGTATCCCGCCACGTTCAGATAGGCAACTTTATCATTCACATCTAAAAAATAAAAAAAAATTAACATTGGCGAGATGTGTCTAAAACCCGTGCCACCCGCATGAAAGCCTATTACACTAACAACTTAGCTATTTAGACTCGTGACGTCCCATATGTTTTTTTTATGGTATACTTTAATACTTTAAGTCTCCTTATGCAACTTGATTTACGCGCATATTCCCTATCTAGATCTAGATTTAAGTCTACTAGTAGTAACTTTCAAATTAAATTTTATCTAAAATTAGCCAATTACATAGCTAAACAAACAAAGTTTAGCCCCATACAACATAGATATAAATCTTCTAACTACCAAGTTGAGCCCCATACAACATACATGACAATTCCTGACATTCGCTACGACACCGACGACATACAGCATTCGTTAAAACGCCGTCGAAATGAAACTTTTGAGCACTGTTGGAGCCGCTAATTGCCCCACGCTTTGTTGGGGCCCATCCTCCGGCGTGCCGCCCACGCCCCGACACTTTGATCTGGCTAATGAAGACGCGGCTATCATTAGCCGGCTGGAGCACGGGACATCCCGCCCTCGTCACGCTCTGCTGGCGACCACTGGAGCGGAAAACCCGATTTTCATATTGAGCCACGGGAAACAGCGCTAGATTTCTGAGCCCGTCTCACTCCAAACTTGGCTCAAAGCTCCAGATTGGCTTTACCAAAGAGCCCTTGTGTCCAGGGGCAGTGCTGATGCTAATGTGACAAGTGGAGGTCCCGTAAACCAGCTTTCAGAGCCGGCCAGATCACGCTGAAGTGGCAGGCTGGTGATACAGGGCGGCTGACGGGCGCAAGCCGGGCTGCTAGTACAAATTGTTCCCAGTAGAGAATAGAGTGAGGTACGCATGCGCGGAGCCCGGGGCGGAGAAAACGATAGTCATGAGGACAGCTTGACTTCCCATGGAGTAAATGAGAGGGCGGCTCTTTGTGGGGGTCACGTCTCAGTGGCGGGCATGTATTGAACACCGCGGGGTGGGGGGGGGGGGTCAGGTCTCAGTGGCGGACATGTATAGAAGACCACGGGACGGACTTGGATCGCCAAAGGCCGCCAAGGTCGCTGGTGATATTTTAATAAGTGTTAATAATCCTGGGACCGTTCCAAACTCAGCAGGGGCGGTAACCAGATCGGTAAACGCGACCCAGGGGCCCACAACTTCGGACCGTACCCCGGCTTAGTGTA